GCTTTTCTTAATGGGCAATAATGTAGATATAAGATTCTGCTTAATAGTTAAAAATGCACAATGTTCTGAATCTTTCAAATTGCCAACATCCTCTGGATCACTGAAAAAGCAAGAGTTCTAGAAAAACATCTATTTCTGCTTTATTGACTATGCCAAAAAGCCTTTGACTGTGTGGATCACAATAAACTGTGGAATATTCTGAGAGATGGGAATACCAGACCACTTGACCTGCCTCCTGAGAAATCTGTATGCAGGTCAGGAAGCAACAGCTAGAACTGGACATTGAACAACAGACTGGTTCCAAATAGGAAAAGGAGTACATCAAGGCTGTATATTGTCACTCTGCTTATCTAACTTATATGCAGAGTACATCATGAGAAATGCTGGGCTGGAGGAAGCACAAGCTGGAATCAAGATTGCTGGAGAAATATCAATAACCTCAGATATGCAGATGATACCACCCTTATGGCAGAAATTGGAGAACTAAAGAGACTCTTGATGACAGTGAAAGAGGAGAGTGAAAAAGTTGGCTTAAAGCTGAACATTCAGAGAACAAAGTTCATGGCATCCGGTCCCATCACTTCACCCCGCAAATAGATAGGGAAACAGTGGAAACAGTAGCAGACTTTATTTTTCTGGGCTCCAAAATCACTGCAGATGGTGATTGCAGCCATGAAAATAAAAGATGCTTACTCCTTGGAAGGAATATTATGACCAACCTAGACAGCATATTAAAAAGCAGAGACATTCCTTTGCCAACAAAGGTCCATCTAGTCAAAGATATGGTTTTTCCAGTAGTCATGTATGGATGTGAGAGTTGGACTATAAAGAAAGCTGAGCACCGAAGAATTGATGCTTTTGAACTGTGGTGTTGGAGAAGATTCTTGAGAGTCCCTTGGATTACAAGGAGATCCAACCAGTCCATCCTAAGGATCAGTCCTGGGTGTGCATTGGAAGGACTGATGCTGAAGCTGAAACTCCAGTACTTTGGCCACCTTATGCAAAGAGTTGACTCATCTGAAAAGACCCTGATGCTGGGAAAGATTGAGGGCGGGAGAAGGGGACGACAGAGGATGAGATGGCTGGATGGCATCACTGACTCAATGGGCATGAGTTTGAGTAAACTCCAGGAGTTGGTGATGGACAGGGAGGCCTGGCCTGCTGCAGTCCATGGGGTCACAAAGAGTTGGACACAACTGAGTGACTGAACTGAACTGAACTGAATCTTTCTCATTAGACATCTTTCTTCCTACAATGTCTGTCTCCTTAAAAAAAAAAATTACATATGGGAGATATTGAGAAACCTTGAGAATTTAAATCCTGTACATATAGGTTAAAGTAACATTTTTCTTATAACAGGATTTCCATAATGTCATCAGAGACATACATCCTTTGATACTTAAGTATGAAATTTAACCCAAACTATGAGTATCTTTATGATTTGTGGTATATTTCACTATTTATTTCAATTACAATTTGGTATTTAATAGATAACTCCTTAACATAAAAAATCTTCTATGATAGCAAATGTCTGTCTATAAAAGAAAAGTTTTTAAATATTTGCGGGGGCGGGGGGAATCCTTTAGAGTCAAATGGTAATGGTCTATGTTGGGCCAAGGCCACAATGTGTTTCTGAAATAAATTACATTTCTCATAAGCCTGGTACACGAATCTGAAGAGAAATGAGAGCTCCAAAAATAAACAAGGACAGCAGCAGCACACTTAGAATAAAAACAGCTTCCCAGAGAGATTTGTTTCAAGCCTTCACTAGTTTCCAATGAACAATTAATAGTGTCTTTTGCTAGTGGTAAAGAACCTGCCTGCCAAAGCAGGAGAGATGTGAGAGATGGCAGGTTTGATCCCTGGGTCAGGAAGATTCCCCTGGAGGAGGGCATGGCAACCTACTCTAGTATTCTTGCCTGGAGAGTCCCATGGACAGAGGAGTCTGGTGGGCTACAATCCATGGGGTCCTCGGACACAACTGAGTGACTTTCACTTTAAAAAAAAATTACAATTGTGTCAAGGGAGGAAAAAAGGAAATACATATGAAAAATTGGATACTGAACATTAAAAATAACTTCAGAAAGTGATGTAGTACAGCCTTATGAATCCTTTGTGTATTCTCCACTTGAAATTATCACTCAGTATCAAGTTTGAGTAGGATCCACGGAATCCAGTAACAGTGTCACAAAAGAAGCACATACACTTGAGGTTCTCTTCAACAATGAGGAGAGATGCAAAACTCTCCAAACTTCTACTACTTTGCTCCTCGAAATCACATTTTAACTTCAAGAACTAAAATGAGATGGACTTGAGTAATGAAGGAAAAAGCACCAAAAACTAGAGCTGTGAGGGTGTGTGTGTGGTGGGGGAGGTGGGCGTAGAGATGGATGGGAGAGAGAAACAAAGATACCCTCACTTTCAGCAAAGTCCTCCATTTTTATTTTGACAATCTGGGTTATTTTCTCATAAACATAATTAAGGTGGTTAGAGTGAGAGAAAAAAGCACAAGGAGAAAAACCTTCCCTTGATCCTCACCCAGGCAGCAGATCTGAAGGTTCCTTCTCTAGTTCCACGTATCATCACATATCCATCCACTCTGTTAGATGCCACATGGCTGGATAAACAAGGGGTTGGGGTGGTGGGGAGCAACCACCACCCAAACAAGCAAACAACTGACCTCTCAATCACCAACCACCACTTACACCCCTTGACTTAAGTGGTAATGAGTTCATCAATATTTAAAGGACAATAACCTTATTTTATCTAAACCTCTAGAACCTTAAAACCAAAGAAAAGTACAGGATGTAACATTCACCCTTTCTGTCCCCACCCTATCTGCCCCACCCCGCCCGCCCCACCTTTACTGGCCATCACACAGGATGGAAGCAGTCCTCTCTTAGTAAACCATTGTTCACGCTGTCCTTACAGCAGATAAAGTGAACATATTCCCCCTAAGCGAAGTGAATATAACTAAGGAACCAGAGTAGTACAGCAGTGCAGGAAAAAAAAGTCGTTGAAATTTACAGCTTAAAACCTCAGACTGCAGAATTAATCTAGTTCAACATACTTATTTTAGTATTGAATTAGTGGACTCTAGAAGGGTTCTAGATTCATTTAGTATCAAATGAATGAACTCTATGACAGCTAGGTTCCAATTCCACCTCTGTCTCTGACCAGCTACCTGACTTAAGCAAATCCCTTCCCTTCCACAGGCCCATTCATTCAACATTGAAATAAGTGTGTCAAACTAGATGAATTCTAAAGTCCCACTCAGCCTTAATGTTCTAAGATTTTAAGTTATAAATTCCAACTATTAAAAGTTTGGAGGGCTTATTTCCCTATTAAAAGTGAGAGGGCTTTTTTTTGCAGAGATTGATAAGCTAATTCTAAAATCCATATGAAAATGCTAGGGAACCAGAATAGCCTAAATAATCTTGAAAGAGAAAAAAGTTGGAGGATGTACACTTGCTGACTTAAAAACTTGATGCAGTTAGTATTCAAAACAATCTGGTACTGGCATACAGATAGATGTGGATAGATGGGTGATAGATATCCACAGATATCTGATATCCACAGATAGATGTGGATAGATCAGTGAAACAGAATTGAGACTCTAAGAAGAAAGTCATTTATTCACAGGCAACTGATTTCCAACAAAAGTGGCATGAAAATTTAATGAGGAAAAGTCTTTCAACAAATGATGCCAGCACTACTGGATATTCAAGTGCAAAAGAATGAAATCGGACCCTTACCTCACATCATATATAAAAGTTAACTCAAAATGAATCAAAGAATTAAATATAAGAACTATATTTAACCACAAAACACTTAGGAAAGAAATAGGCATAAATTTTTATGACAATGGATAAAGCAATGGGTTTCTAAGATACAACACCAATAGTACAAGGAACTAAAAAATAAAAGATAAATTAGACTTCATCAAAATTTAAAAGTTTTGTGTTTCAAAGGACACCATAAAGAGAGGGGAAAAAATGTCTACAAATGTGAAAAAATATTTGCAAGTCACATACGTTAAGGATTTAGTATCCAGAGTACATTAAAAAAAAAACCTCTTTAACTCAACAATAAAAACATAAATAACCCAATTTAAAAACAGGCAAAGGATCTGAACAGATACTTATCCGTAGAAGATACACAAACAGCCAATAAGTACAAGAAAGAAAAATCATCTGTCATTAGAGAAATGGAAATCAAAACCACAATGAGATACCTCTTCATACACACTAAAATGGCTAAAGTAAGATGATGGTGCATCAGTGCTGCCAAGGTCATGGAGAAACTGGAATCCTCATACACTGCTGGGAGGAATGGAAAATGGTGCAGCCACTTTGGAAAATGGTCTGGCAATTTTTCAAAAGGTTACACAGGGTTACCATATGATCCAGCCAGTCTACTTTTAGGTATATGCCACTCTAGTTTGAAAACATATGCCCATACGAGAACTTGAACACAAATATTCATTCAGAGCAGCATGATTCATTATAGCCAAAAAGTGGAAACAAACCAAATGCCTCTCAACCAATGAATGGACTAAACAAAATGTGGTCCATCCACACGGAGTATTATTCAGCCACAAAAAACCTACTGATACATGCTACACCTTGATGAACCCTAAAAGTTATGCCAGGTGAAGGGTCAGACACAAAAAGCCACACACTGTATGATTCCATTTTTTTTAACTATCCAGAATAGGTAAATTCATAAACACAGAAAACAGATTAATGGTTGCCCAGAGTTGAGAAGTAGGAATGGGGAGTGACTGCTAATGAGTATGATGTTTCTTTTTGGGGTGATGAAGTGTTCTGGAATTAGACAGTGGTAATGGTTGCACAACTTTGCAAATATACTAAAAAAATCCCAATGAATGTTACTTTAAGAGAGTGAATTTTAAAGGTATGTGAATTGTATCTAAAAACAATTTTTAAAGCAAAGGCCCTCTTTAGAAAACTGATTTCCTCACTTCTGTTTCAGGCCACCTACTGGTTCATGAAAATAAAAAAAAATTTGTAATATTTGACATTTATAATCCCACTGACATGAATCTCAGAATAAAATTTCTTTTTAACCAAATTATTTATAGATATCAATTGATGGTCCATTGTATTTAGTTTGCTTCTGAAAAATGATAATCTGAAAGTTCTTCTGAGCTCATGATTTATCTCAGAATCCTTTTTAAAATTTACATTTTTCTTAAGCAACTGAGACTTAACAAATGTCTCCATTTTAGAAATTTTAGTAATACTGTCATCTAGAAACAGGTGAAAACATTGCTCCTGAATTGACATTAGTTAGCACAGCCATCTTCAAGCGGTACTTTAAAATTTAATCCCCGTTCATAGGACAATAAAAAGACAAAGCAAAAAATGATTTTTCAATATCAGTATTGCAATGTAATATGTATAACCTGATGCTTTAAGCCATCAAACAAGTGCAGACTTTCTTTTCTCTGGAATATAAATAGATTTCTAGGCTTACTCTATTCAGCAGTAAGAGTTGAAGTGATTTTTTTTTTCAAAGCTCTACAAAAAAAAAATACCCTTTATCTTCATCACCTGTAACATTGTTCTGTATATCTGGTTTTCAGTACCAGAAGGCTGTAAACTTTGCATTAGCAATCTAACTCACAGTAAGAGCTCTGTAAGTATTTGAAACAGAATGAAATATTAATTCTTGTCTGATATCACTGGGTTGTACTATACATAGTTCCATGTAAGTTAAACAAGACTGATTCTTCTAAAAATGCTGAAGTGTAGAGAGAGGAGGGTTAAATAATTAAGAAGTAAACATCAAGGTGTGTCATGATCACACTACATTCTAAAAAAAGCACCAACAGATTACAACACGGTGACATGATTTTCATTTTTAAGTTCAATGCAAATTGCATGTACTGTTTTTACTCTTAAACACAAGTGGTTTACATTGTATCAAGGCTGCTGGCTGGCCCCAAGAAAGACATGAACAAAGAAAGGATGGTCTTGTCCAACTTCAGTATTATTTTTGTAGCAACGTGTATAAAATTCAACCAATGTTTGGGCAACCTTAGGAGAAAGTGAGCCTAAGAGATGAACACATTTACATCTCTTAATTATACTGTTACCTTATAAAAATGTGAGGTCCAACATTTGTTCCCCTGAAAGCAAAGCACTGAACAGTCTCCAATACAGTAACCAAGCTGTGAGTTAAGATGTGTTTAAACATATGTAAGACCTTTAAGACTAGTTTTTTTTCAATTACATATATCCAAATGACAGTGTTATAATTCAAATTGAACAACAATAACAGGAACAAAATCTTTATAAAATAAGAAATGGGGGAAATAAAAACTGACTTCTAAACCAAATGTACCCTATTTCACGGAAATGAATCACTGGGAAACATGCCACGGAGAAGAGAGGCTCCACATGAAGAAAACTGCATATAGGAATTCAAGAGTTACAGCACATACTCTTGGTTTTTCTGTTTTTTAAATACATAGGCCTCAAAAAACTGTTTTATCAGTTTGTTTTTTTTACAGCACATCTTTTTAAAAGAAATTCCTACTTTTCATTCCAGAAAATATAAGAAACTGTTTGCAAGAATTCATGCAAACATGCTTCTCTAAGGCCATGAACGGGTTGCTAAGTTGCATTGTTTAATTCAAGTAAAAGCCCTTCTAAAATAAGGGGTCTGTAAAGGAAGCCAGTTACCTTCAACTCCAAGGCCTATGCACTTGTAAGGATCGCTGACACTCTGAAAGCCAAAAGGCAGCATGCTCATTTGAGCATTAGCAATATGGTTTCTATTTACATTTTTAAAAATCAAATGCATGTTAAGTTTTTCTGGCAGATTCTTTTTATATGTTACAAAACGAAAAAGCAAAAGCTTAAAATAAGAATCCTTTTTTCTTAGAAAGGTCAAACAGATACTTTTTGACATCATGTCCTTTACACAATGGCATACTGTTCATATAAAAGGTCTCTTATCCTATAAAAATCTTGACAAAGGCAGCCTTCTAATCCAATGCGTCCAGTTTCCGTCTAGAAACCAAGTGGAAAAAAAAATTTCTTTAGTACATCTTCTATCCATTAATATGCAGACATGATAACCAAAGCATATTAACTAGGTTACTTTATGATTGATTAGGAAGTGATTGTTCTGATTCACAGAATATGAACATAATATTCCAGTCATGAATTTTACATAGACACATAAATGTCAGAGGATTCAAATAATAAAATCTACAATAAAATTATATATCACATCATTGACAGTCCCTTTTAAAAGTCTTCAAGGTCATCATTATAAATTTAACTTACTGATTTCCAGTTTATGAAATTAATTCAATCAAGAATTACAGAATTCAAAATAACAAAATACCAGAAGTATTTGTTCACTTAGCCCTTCCTTACTAAAAACACACTTACTCTAGGACTTTAGCCCTTCCTTACTAAAAACACACTTACTCTACGGACTGCCACTTGATTGTTGCAAACAAGCACACCTCCTACGAATTCAGCTTGGATCCCCTCCCGTAAAAGAACTTGTTTGAAGTCCGACAGTCTTGGTTCATTCATAAAAACAGACTGATGTCCAGGAACCTGAGGTAAAGTTAAAGGGGAAAGAAGAATTTCAAACAGAACACCAGACACAGAATTGCACTGAATAAAGAGAAGTAACACATGATTTTGAAGATATTTTCTATTATCCCCTGAATTCCTTTGACAGATCATTTCAAGTCTGTAAATCACATTCCTAGTTGTTATTCTGAGTTTTACCTCCTTATTTAACATTACAAAGCCCTTCACATTTTCCGAATGTTTCACAATCAAGTTTATTAGTCATGCCTCATAATAACAGAAAGACGTTTGATAATGTTAACACTTTTCACTCACCCACTTGCCGAAGGGGGTCAACGAGAGGGCCAGTAGGCAGAATTGAATTGAAATTTCATTTTCCAGATCCCAGTCCTTTGTATATAGTTCAGAGGGTAATCCTCCCTGGTCCCACTTCCACTGGTCCCCCCTCACTGTGAATGTGGTGGACACCATGGGTTTTAGAATCAGAAAGGCAAGTGGTTCAACGTAATGCCACTACTTTGAAGCTGTTTTGGAGAGTGCCAGCTTTGGTGCAGAGAGAAAAGTTCCTAATTCCTTCCTGCAATTTCAAGAGTTGTTCTAGAAGGGGATCTGATGAAAGAGGCCATCTCTTCATTCCTTATTGCATAGAAGGGCTAAAGATATCACTGGACAGTCGTGTAAGACTCTCATGATGTGCTTTTAATATTATCGTACGTTAAACTATCTTACAGCTCTGCCAGTTAACTAGATATCTCTTGAGAACACGTAAACAAAATACCAAACTAAAACTATATCTCTACTAAATAAAACATTTCTAACTATATCAAAAACAAAAGTGGTTCAACTGAATAGGCAACATAGACAAATGGAGTTATAAATCTCCTAACTATAACAGAGGTAGACAGGTGACCCTCCCAATCATCAAACTTAACATTTAAAAATCTATTCTGGAAAAAACAAATCATAAAACAATTACGTGTCTTAGAAGAAGATTTGCTAAAGGGTTCTCTACTATCGTTATTCTCTAGCCATAGAGGACACACACGCACAAGCACAGGCACATTTATCTTTAGTAATTTTTTTAAAACTTCAAAATGCATCTACATATGACACATTTTAAATGGTTAAAAACATAGAAGGAAAATTCAAAGGGTAAATTAAGGGAGAGAGGAGAAGCAGCACATGCTTTTTTACCTCATGAGGTGGTAAGGGTTCCAGAGTAGGAATGATCTCACTTTCTTCACCTGTTTCTTTCTCATCGTCTCCGAACAGACTTTTCATGGCCTTCTGCTGTGCTATGACACTAGAATCTGAAGGCGCATCCACCTGCATTTCGGAGTCTTCTCCATCATCCTTTAGTTCTCCTTCTTCTAAAATAACTCCTGTGTCCACTTTGGAAACTCTCATGTCTAAGACACCATCTATCCAAGCTAGTTCAGCATCTTTTGCCTTACAAAACTGAAGGGAGCTGACAAGTGAATCTTTTAATCTCACCTAGATATGATGCAAAGGGGTAAAAGAGAAATAAAGCCCACAGAGTATAACTTGACAATTAAATATGACCTATTATTATAATTTTCTAACTTTAGTATTGTGATTAAAGTTTTAAAATCTTTCACTCATCTGACCTTCACTGTAACTGGTAATGACCCAATGACCCATAAGATCATTAGGGCCCCTGTCTACTTTCCGAAGTAAAGGTTCTTAACGTCGACTGCACACCGGGACCACATGGCAAATTTTCTTTTCTACTGATGCCAGGGTCCCACCTCCAGTGATTCTAATGTAACTAGTGAGACTAAGGCCAAAACAATGAACCCCCTTGACTCTCCCAAAGCTCTCCTGATGTGGAGCTGAGGTTGGAAACCACCAATAATCTCACCCCCTAGGACTTGCTGCTTGAAGGCCAGCACGCTTACCTGGTAGATGTGAGTTTCACTAGTGGCATCGACTGTTTCGTGCAGCTTTGGCATGTATACTTTAATATCTTTCCCACCGAATGCACGACAGCACTCTGCAAGATCCTGACTGGCTTCTGGTGGTCCATGGACAATGATTAACTGGCGTGGTTTCATCTGATTGATGATCTTTTTAATGGAATCCCCATCAGAGCGTCCTTCATAGTCTATGTAAGTAACCCTGGCTCTGTAATTAGATGATTATTCAAGTTTCCTTTTCTGTTAAGTTCATTCTAAAATTAGGTTTTTAATAGCTTTTATCATCAGGAAAGAAATGTATCAACATGTAGCATGAGAATTTGAGAATATACCTGTTATATTGTTAACATGTATTATTAAGCTCTTAGCTATACTCCAGAATGTATACTAAATGATACTACTAGACAAATAAGCCACTCTGCTCTCTAATAACTTTAAAAAAATATATTCCAAAATGATCATTTGCTGCTGTTAACTGCACTAAACAGAAAGGGGAAAAAAGGTTCATAAATGGTATTTTTAAAACACAGTGGTGTTTTTAAGATATTAGTGCCCTAGAGGTAATTGAGTCAAGGTGTTTATTTTACTAAACAAGCTCTTAGAAAAATTAAACTTGTGAATTACACAAGTTCACCTGCTACTTGACTTACTAAAAATGCCAGAAAGAATGTTTCTTCATATAAATGTACAATGTGAAGTTTAACCCCCTCCTTACCACCAATTCACTTTGGCATTTCAATATCATTAATAAAGGGAAAAACTCCCATATATCACAAGAAGAAAAAAAATTAAGCACAAACTTCCTAGTGAATATTCAGAAATATCCTCTGAAATAATGTCAATTATGTAATTCGAGTACTTGAAAATTTTACTTTGTAATCTATTTGCAAAATGCAACAAAAGCACTTACTTTATTTCAATAGATTCTGTTGTAGAAATACACTTAGTAGGAACATCAGATAAATCCTGATCCATGGGTTCATCTCCATTTGTCAGGCCAGACTCTAATTTGCTTTTTTCTTCTTCAGTAGCTTGAAGTTCTGGCACTAAGAAATCCTCTGGTCTAAATAATAAGCCTCTAATTAGAAGTAGTAACAAGCAAGCTGATATTATTTAATATATACAACTAATTAGTAGATGGCATAATTTTTAGACTTCTCACATATCTCAAGATTCAAATATACATTTGATCCAAAGTCAATGCAACTTCACAATTTCAGTAATCAAATGACAGCATGTATTAGGTTCTTTGTGACCATCAAGTACACTTTAAAACACACCATGTGAGGCGTGAAAAGGCCCTTATCCAGACAGGTCATTCAAAGACCTTAGTGGCTGCTACAAGTATTACTGCAACCTGGCCCTTCCTTTGCTCCAGTAATTCATTCTCTATTTCTGTGGTTTCTCTTGTCAATTTTCCATCTTACAAATCTCATATCTTTAGTTTCCCTAAGACGCTCCCCTCCACCCATTATTCCTTCACTGCCTGACGAAAGCAGAGGACTCTCCATTTTTGCTTATTACAGAGAAGACCAAGATACAAATCATTAGCTCCCTCAAAAGCCTTCACTTTTATTTCAACAAACTACTAGCACATTTATTTTTGAGTATCAGAGAGAGTTCTATGTTAAAATTAAAAGGCAAACTTTTTTTTTAAACATTCTCTCTAATCTCAGTATTTATCCTGCCCTAGCCCCAAATCCCCTGACACTCCTCTCTGACAATCCAGGCCTCTGCCACCAGCACCTAGATGGCCGCAGGAGCCCAGTATCTCTGACTGTAATCCACAGAGCAACTGCAGCACATGGCCACCTGTAATCCACATAACGATGGCAAGTAGCAACCACTTAACGTGCATTCACTGCGAGTCATGTGCTATGCTGAGTGCCTTAAAAGCACAACCTATTTTATTCTTACCTCCATTTTTAAGATAAGAAAATTGAAGCTAAAGAGCCCTGTCCATATGCTAAACAGACTGGCGCTAATTAAGTGAAGCGGTAAGCAAACTCTCCAGCACTGTTTAGATTGTTAGCTTTTTTCCCTACTACTTTAAAGGGCCAAATAAACAGTAGAATTTTCCTAATTAAATCCAAGGATGACCTAAGACCATATGCTCAAGATACCATTAAAGGAGAACAAAGACGGTACAAGAGAGGGAGTTAACTGTGTTGGGGTGGCAGGGGAGAAGAGGGAAACTTCCCAGGAGTTTGCGAGGCCAGACTCAGAAGCCTGAAAGCCTGGGGCAGGAAGGTGGAACAAGGCTGAAGGAAAGAAATGTGTAAACACATGACATGAAAAAGCTGCGTAGCCATGAAGACCAAGATGGGTGGGGTTGAGGGGCAGTCAAAGGGAGGCCAGGAGGGAGGGAATATATGTATACATGTAGCAGACTCGCTTCATTATACTGCAGAAACTAACAGAACATTGTAAAGCAATTATACTCCAATTAAGAAAAAAAGAAAAGGCTGAGCAGGAGGAAACCGAGAGAAGGCTGGTACCACGAGAATGGAGAACACACACTAATGGAACAGAAATACAGAGAAATATAATAGGAAAGTAGGGAGAAACCAAACTATGAAAGACATCATGCACTATGCTAAGGCATCTGACATTTACTGATCTTTATTCAGGACAGTAGTGTTTTCAAGTCTGTGATTTGAACATATGATTTCAGTTGTTTCCTCTAATAGTGGGTGTAGGGTAGATTTTCCATGGTTCCACTCATGGTATCTCATATTCCTCTTGAAACTAAAACACGTGTGCAATACTACTTGAACATAACCCATTTCCCCAACTTAACATAACTCTAGCTGTCAAAAGTTCTTCATATCATACATCTTTTTCCAATGCATGTCCCTTGTGTGCGTGCTAAGTCACTTCAGTCGTGTCCGACTCTGCTACCCTATGGATCACAGCCTGCCAAGCTCCTCTGTCCACAGGATTCTCCAGGCAAGAATACTGCAGTGAGCTGCCGTGCCCTCCTCCAGGGGATCCTTCCACCCAGGGATCGAACCCACGTCTCTTCTATCTCCTGCGTTGGCATTCTTTGCCACTAGCGCCACCTGGGAAGCCCTGCATGACCCTCACCTCTCTTTTTAAGTGGGGAGAGGGGAGAGTAGTGATCATCTTTTTAAAACATTGCACACACCTAAGTAATAAAACTATCAGTTCTCCTTTAATATTAGCTTTCTAGATGTTCCTCAACCTTTCTATTTTTACATTTTAAATTAAAAGCTTTCTGTATCTTTCAAGCTGAGACACTCAGAAACTACATACATGATAAACAGAAAGACAAAATTCATTGAGCTCAAGCGACAACAGTTACGGCCTCCAATCTAGAAGCAAGAAAAGTTTGTTTTGCTCACGTACTTGATAATTTCTCCATATTCATCCCATTTAATTCTTTCTTCTGGGGCAGGAAACATAGGATAAGACTTTTTAGCCTGCTTGAAGAAACTTCCTTTACGACTGCCTTCACCTTTCATCATCAGGTCATGCTTGGTCTTATGTGCTGAGGGCTGGTCAATATCTTCCTCAGCATCACTTTCATCACTGGAATCTATGTCTGCCCTAAGGGAGTTTGTGAAAAGGTACAGATCAGCAAGTCCCCAAATGATTTTTAGTTAATATTTATAAATTAATCTTAAATTAACCTTAAATTAATCTTAAATTAACCATCAATAATAATTTAGTGATAATGATAGTATTATTGGACTACTATTTCGTGAAATACAGTGTAAACTGCCAATTAATAACAGGCCAATTAATAAATACATGTTAACATTAGCACTGAAAAGAATTTAGAATTCTAGCACCACTGGAAAGATGTACTGAATGCAATAAAGTCAAAAGAAAGTTTAAATATTTTCAATTACACACTATTGGTAGAAATAAGTTCTCAAATTAAATAAACTTCCAATCTGCCTGAAAACAACTTACTCTTTTGACTGCTCGAGCTTTTTAGCAGCTTCTTTCTTTAGTTTCTCTTTTTCCAAGTATTCTTCAAGTTCTTTCCCTTCAAGTTTCACACGTTTCCTCAACTACAGAAAAATAATAGATAAAAAGAAGTATTAGTACTAGGAGGTTAAGGCAGTGGGATGTGAGAAATACATTACATCTCTAAATTGATTCATCATCTTTAAACTAAATTTTCCTCTGAAATATTCAAGTTTCTATTACGCGCAATCACAGGTCCTATTTAGATTAGTATTAAAATTGAGCTGTCACATTTCCAAGATGGGTTTAATTTAAATCAAACTGGTTAAAAATCACCAATCAGGCAAAGAAAATACAGAAAAGTATTTTTATAACTTGGTGTAGGTGAGATCTACAAATGACACAAAACTGAAAAGAAAAGGTAAGTAAATATGGTAACGAGGGGAAAAAACTCTGATATTCTAATCTCATGGAATGAAAGGAAACTGAGAAAATTATCTGCAGCACTATTTGACTATCAGAAGCTACTTTTTCCTAAGAGCTCTTGCAAATATGTTAAGAAAAAGATGGTCCACACATCAAAACAGGACAAAATGATATACAAGCACTTTATAAAATAAGAAACATGATTAATAGCCACGAAAACATATTCAATTTTACTAATAATTTTTGTTGTTGTTGTTTAGTCATTAAGTCATGTCTGACTCTTTGCAACCCATGGACTGGAGCCCCCCAGGATCCTCTGGCCATGGGATTTTCCAAGCAAGAATACTGCTTGGGTTTCCATTTCCTTCTCCAGGCGATCTTCCTGACCCAGGGATCAAACCTGCATCTCCTGCATTGGCAGGTGGATTCTCTACCACTTGACCCAAATGATATTTGAAAAATGCAAAAAATTTTAATGTAAAACCATCTTTTAATTTATGAAATTGGCTATAGTAATTACTAATAGGGAAAGGTTACTTTCATCCACTATGGGAAAATTAGGACGACTATGTTAGAAAGCAATTTGTCAACATCTAAAACTGAAGATGTACCTATCCTTTTAACACAGCACTTCTAGGAAGTTATCTACTGAGAAAATCACACATGTGTGAGGGGAAAAAAAGCACATGGCAGCAATGTTTACAAGAGTGAAAAACCGGACACAACTTTGAAATCCATCAGCATGGAATGATCTAATCAGTAGTTCTCAAATTTTCTGATCTCATTTTTTTTCCTCTTTAGCCACAGACCTTATTATTTGAATATTTGGAACAATCATTCCATACATCGGCTTCCCTGGTGGCTCAGAGGGTAAAGAATTCACGTGCAATGTGGGGGACCTGGGTTCGATCCCTGGGTCGGGAAGATCTCCTGGAGCGGGGCATGGCAGCCCACTCCAGTACTCTTGCCTGGAGCACCCCCATGGACAGAGGAGCCTGCTGGGTTACAGTCCATGGGGCCGCAAAGAGTCAGACACGACTGAGCGACTAAGCACAGAATAGTACATTCTACACATATTTTAATTTCTTACAAAACTCCATATTCCATATTGCTAAGTCATATCACTCTCCGCTTTATGCCACATTTTCATCAAGAGGTGTTTCCCCAAACCACCAATCTACCTGACTGTGTGTTGCTGTTGCTGTTGTTGCTAAGTTGTGCCTGACTCTTTGCCACCCCCTGGACTGTAGCCCTCTAGGCTCCTCTGACCGTGAGATTTCCCAGGCAAGAATACTGGAGTAGGTTGCCATTTCCTTCTTCACTTATCTCTTTTTAAACTCCTAAAAATCACTGAGAACCCTGAAGAACTTTTGTTTTTTTGTAGGTTATATTTATTCGTATTTACCATATCAGAAATTAAAACTGAGAGATTTTTAAAAATGTATCTGTTCATTAAAAGTAAAATCACTTGTATCATGTTAATGTTAACATCATTTTTCACAAAAGATTATAGTTTCCAAAGCAAAAAAAAAGAAATAGCAAAAAGTATGGCATTATTTTACATTTTTGCAAGTCTCTTTAATATCTAGCTCAATAGAAGACAGTTGGATTCTCACATTCTGCTTCTTGCCATATATCATTTTGGTTAAAGTATATTTAGAAAATCCAGCCTCACACAGAATAGCTGGAAAAATTTTTAAATAGCCTTTTCATGAATATTCTTCTTTGATATTACATTAAAACTCAAACAGTGATAGTTTCTTAAAGGCTAGTTGTAATGTGGAATCTTTAATCATACCCACAACTTCTATGAAGTGAAGAAGTGAAGTCGCTCAGTTGTGTCTGACTCTTTGCGACCCTGTGGACTGTATGTAGCCCACCAGGCTCCTCCGTCCATGGGATTCTCCAGACAAGAATACTGGAGTGGGTTGCCATTTCCTTCTCATTAAAATTTACTGATTGATCTTATATTTTGACTGGATTTTTTACTTGTATATTACTTTGCAACTTTATCCATTAGATATTTGGAAAATATTAGTTCATTAAATTACACAGATTAGTTCATTAAGTCACACAGTTAAGTTCATTAACTTATATTAGTTCATAAATTACACATTACACAAATTTGACAATACTTTTAAAAATCAACATTTGCAAATAACACCACCATCTCACCAGAAAAGTCATATTGTCAATCTGACAGTAACAGGCTAAGTTTTCCAAAATGCTAATTTTCACTTGAAAGTTTCAGTTTTATCAGATTGAGGCAAGAAATGCTGTCAATTGTTTTCCTTAGAGTCACAAGCTCAATTATTCTTTTTTGGGAAAATATTTGCCAAATACACAAGTCTGAATAACCATGTCATTTCAAGTAAAACTGGTGTTCCAGGAAATAAAGTAACTAGCTTAACTCAACAACTCAAAGAATTACCCAAGTGATTTCTTCAAGACAAACATCGTATTGGGTTGGCCGAAAAAAGTCATTTGGGTTTTCTGTAAGATGTTAGGAAAAAACTCAAATAAACTTCTTGGCCAACCTAGTATGCAACATAAGTGCTTCTATATACTTCCGAATGTCTTGACACCAAGATTATTTTAAAAAGTTCTTTTTAAAAGGATTTAATAAACTTGTAACTTTATTAAAATTTGATAAAAGTTTGTAAGTTTAATAAAAGTAAGTAACTTTTACTGCTTCATCAAGGATATTCTTAACTGCAACTTTATTTGAACGACAAGTGTATGGTGATGAAAAATGCAGTGATTAACCTAGCTTAGTGCCACAGACTTGATTTATGCTAAGGCACCAGCACTTTATCCACCACTGCTTTCACTTGTCAATATTGTAGGCACAGTAAAAGACAAATAATATCTTAATATCACCATGAAAAACAATTGGTGGACTCCATAAAAGGGTCTCAGGTAGCCCCCAGGGGTCCTTGCACCATGCTTTTAGGAGCCATTGGATTAAATAATCAAAGTACATATACATAATATATTATTAAAGAATCACTAGAAATAATTCAATCACTTATTCAAAAACATTTTAAAGTTTATTATACCAAGTATTGAATAAGGTAAATCTGTAGCTTTCATTAATAATATATTTCATCAATAATAACTTTCATTATTCAAAAATATATGGATAATTTGGTCCCATTTATTTTAAAAAAAATCATATAGATATTTGTATGTGAATAGAAAAAAAATTCTAGAACATACATGCTTCAAAAACATCAAGTCTTGACAACAAATGCAATGTGTCTTCTTGGATGGGATTCCAAACAAAAAGGAAAGGCCATTGTTGGAGCAATCACCAGGAGTCAAGTGGGGTCAATGGATGAAATAGTATTAATGTCAACAGTACGATATCAGTGTTTATTTCCTTATTTCAACTGATGTATCATAAATATACAGTCTTGCAGGAGCATGTTCTCATTTCTAGGTGATGCATACTGCTGTGTCTAGAGGTAATGATGGAATATCTGCAGCTTACTTTCAAAACAGTATCTCACACTGTGTCTATATGTGTATGAAGAAGTCATAAGGCAAAGCCAATAAAATGCTGACAACTGGGAAATCTGGGTATACTATTTTTAACAACTTTTCTGTTAACTTTAATTATTTTACAATAAAAAGTAACAAAAAAATTAAATGAAAATCAAGTGATTCTACTATGTAGAATGAAAGAGTGATTTACATGTTACCTCTGGCATCCCACATCTGCCTAGTAGTATACTTGAATATAAGTTCAATTTAGAAAAGTATCATTATTTTTCTGTAGTACACAGTTGGCAATTTACACAGTTGTCTGTCTTAACCACAAATAAACTTGAACAAAACATTTACCCCGTGATTTAGCTTATGCCTATTGCTATAATAAATTTTACTTTCCATCTTATTTCACATAAGATAGCTAAAATTAATGGCTAAATTCAAAAGCAGATTTCTAGGATAATCAACCCTAAGATGGTTTCTTCCTAGTTTTTCACTGCATTGTCTCCAAGTTATTCCTTTTTCTTAATCAAATCTACTCAAATTCGTTAATCCTTATTTATTTATTGTTTTTGCTCTTTTTAGATGCATGAGATTTGACTCTAGAGAAGGATAAATGTAGATGAAAAAAACCATACATAGTAAACTCTTATCTAACATGATCAGAAGTCAGGTTTATTACATATTTACTCATCTGGTGTTTCATGAATTTAACCTACACATTTATTGAGGACTTCCATGTACTAGTGGATATAAAAATACAAGATCCCTTTCTCATGAAAAAATAACTGACAGTAATGACTAGGGAAAATAATGTGGTGGGTTTGCAACTGAGTAGTAGACTAGTAGTCAGAGAAGGCCTACCTGAGGAGGTGACCTTTTGACCGAGACTTGAGTAAAGGCGTAAACAGGGGCAAAGCTGTGAAGGAACATGAGAGGCAGAAGGAGCCCCGGATGCAGTGAAGCAGTGTGGAGCAGAAAGAAAGAATGAGATACAGTCAGAAAAGTGGATGGAGATCAGGTCAGTGGGACCTTGAAACCCTGGGAAAGGAGTCTGAATTTTTTTCAAAGAGAAGGAAGTCTCCAGAGGGTTCAAGCAAAGGAGTGACATGAAACATTAAATTTTTAAAAGATGCCTTTGGGGGTTGTTCAATAATTACAGAGCTTGGGTTTTACAAGTTGAAAAGTTTTAGAGGTCTATTGCACACCAGTATTCACACAGTTAACATTGCTGTGCTAGACTCTTAAAAATGGTTCAGATGGTAAATTTCATGTTATATGGTCTTAAAACAATAAAACAAGAGAGAAAGAGACAGAGAGCAAGGAAAAGACATGTCTTTGGGTGGTGCTACAAGAATAAAGCATTGCTGCTGCTAAGTCGCTTCAGTCGTGTCCAACTCTGTGCGACCCCATAGACGGCAGCCCACCAGGCTCCTCTGTCCCTGGGATTCTCCAGGCAAGAACACTGGAGTGGGTTGCCATTTCCTTCTCCAATGCATGAAAGTGAAAAGTGAAAGTGAAGTCACTCAGTTGTGTCCGACTCTTCGCAACCCCACAGACTGCAGCCCACCAGGCTCCTCCGTCCATGGGATTTTCCAGGCAAGAGTGCTGGAGTGGGTTGCCGTTGCCTTCCCTAGAGCACTGAGCAAGCGTAAGAGTAAAAACAGTGAAGTCAATTAGGAAACCACTGCACAGCACAGACAAGACCCTTACCATGGGCCAGGATGACGGGAGTGGAGCTGGAGAAAAGCAGACAGATTTAGGATATATCTGGAAGTCGTCAATAGGAATTGCTCCTGGATTGGATATGGGTAATGAGAGAAAACTCCCAGGTGGCGCCAGTGGTAAAGAAACCGCCTGCCAATGCAGGAGACTCAAGAAACACAGGTTCCACCCTTGGGTCGAGAAGATCCATTGGAGGAGGAAATGACAACCCACTCCAGTATTCTTGCCTGGAAAATTTCATAAACAGAGGAGCCTGGCAGGCTACAGTCTAACGGGTCGCAAAGAGCCTGACACGACGAAGCACACACACACACACACACACAAACACAGTGACTAACACACACACAAGGAGAGAAAAGTAAGGAAATGAAAATAAATTTTAATAGTCTGTGCATCGGAAGTCTGAAAAGTGGTTACCCTTGGAAAGATAGGGAGGATGAGGAAGGGGGCATCTGGGAGAATTGGTAATAGTTTACTTCTGATCTGAGTATAAGCTAGACAGGTGTGTTCAATCTGTGAAAATTTATCATGCTGTTTGCTTACAATATACAAACTTTATATTATATGTATGTATTACATGTATGTATTATATGTCAATGTATGTTTCAAAATTATCTATACTTAGAGCTTGAGTAGGTATGTGGAAAGTGCTGCTATTCCATGAGATGAGGAAGACTCAGAAAAGAACAATTTTGGGGGACAAAGAACAGTAAAAATTACTTGGATGTGACAAAGGAAAGAGGTGATAGATAATGGAGAAAAAGGATAACCACAGTAGAAATATCCCTAACAAGGTGAGAGGGCAAAGACCCTAGACCTAAGTATTACTTACCAAAATATTAAAAACCTAAAACATTTTCAGCTCAGAATGTCATTTTCTTTTTCAAACTTAAATCACTTTTCATAGTCTTTTATTAATTCCTCAAATGGCATACCAGTCTTCATTGTATTTCCAGTAATTAATATTTTCAAATTTAGTATTTTGTATCTGATGAAATTGTTTCAAGTTCTGAACTTCGTATTTTCTTTTAACTTTATATTTCTAAGCTATTAAATAGCCCAAAAGATAGTATGCATTTTACTTTGATGTGCCTGCTCTACATCTTCCCTCAACACTCCTGTTTTTATAGTGAACGTATATCAGGTTTTAGTCACTATTTATGATTTTTTTTAAGCAGAGTTAGGGACACAACTGAAGCAACTTAGCACACAGGGACTAAGCAGAGTTAAAGATTAAGATACCCTTACCATTTAGCTTTTCACAAACTAAACATTCCTTAAAATCACTGCTATAAAGACAAAATAAAAAGTAATCATCTAAAAGTATGCACAAGAATGGCAGCTATTAACTATTCAGTATCAATTCATTTCAGTCGTGTCCAACTCTTTACGGCCCCATGGACTGTAGCCCACCAGGGTCCTCTGTCCATGGAATTTTCCAGGCAAGAATACTGGCGTGGGTTGTCATTTCCTTCTCCAGGAATCAAATCAGCATCTCTTGCATCTCCTGCATTGGTAAGCGGATTCTTTACCATTAGAGCTACTTGGGAAGCCTAACAAATGATACTGGTTTTGAAAAATTGGCAGATTTGATGTGTTGGTTACTAAGCAAAATGATCTCTTGGCTTCTGGATCATTTGGCTAAATGTTGCTCCCGTACCAGGAGATAAGGCCGCAATGTGGATGCAACACAGATTAGGCTATTTAGTGATGAGAAGGTAAGAGAATTCCTACCTGACTGCTTCTACTTCTCAGTTAAGTTTGAAACAAAGTCACGTGCTACAGGTGAGGGCTGAGATGGGATGAAAGATATTTGTGGAGAAAGCAGGTACTGTCTTCCTGAAGAATGGGAAAAGCACTATCCCACAGAATGTGGAGTGCTGGTGTTGGGTGCCTGTCTGAGATGTGAGCTCAATAATGCGAAGGGAAATCTGTCCACACAGTGTATTTAACTCAAGTAATATCAGACTGCTTATGTACAGGCACGAACTAAGCAAATGGTTTAACTAGAGTCTGCTAGGCAAGTATAATAAACAGAAAGAAGGGTAAAAGAGTTAAATATCTTGTAACAATATCTGTCTGAACATCTTGTAACAATCTATAACAGAAAACAATCTGAGAAAAAAATATATGTATACATATGTAAAACTGAATCACTTTGAATCATTCATTGTAAATCACACTATACTTCAAATAAATAAATAAAAAGAAAGGTGTCTGCAAAATAATGCTGGACCATTGACCAGAAGATACAGCAATGATGATTAAGTAGAAGTGATGAGGTTCATGAATTCAAAGTCCCAGCAGGACCAAAGCATTGTTGGCATGGGAGTAACAGAGAAAGTCGGCTATGAGACCAGAGTGGTCTGCTTGACGGAGAGATCTGAAGATCATAACAAGGTTAAAGGTATGCCCATGGGAGTGGACAGCACGATCGTGGGAAGGGATGGCTGACATTGAGTAGAAGGAAAAAAAATAAGAAATAAAGTGTTGGGGCCTCCCACGTGGCTGAGTGGTAAAGCACCCGTACACCAATGTAGGAGAAAGAGATGTGGGTTCAATCCCTGGGTCAGGAAGATCCCCTGGAGGAGGAAATGGCAATCCACTCTAGTGCTCTTGCCTGGGAAATCCCATAGACAGAGGAGCCTGGAGGGCTACAGTCCATAGGGTCACAAAGATATAAATAATAAACTGTTCAGTTCAGTTTAGTCGCTCAGTCGTGTCCAACTCTTTGTAACCCCATGAATCGCAGCACGCCAGGCCTCCCTGTCCATCACCAACTCCTGGAGTTTACTCAAACTCATGTCCATCGAGTCGGTGATACCATCCAACCATCTCATCCTCTGTCATCCCCTTCTCCTCCTGCCCCCAATCCCTAAACTGTTACTAATTTTAAAAAGAAAAGAAATAAAGTGTCAAGGAACTGAGAGGGTAAATCATACATATGGATGCTAAAGTCATCACGAGTGAAGTCCTGAGTATGAGTGGACAGGAAGGCTGTGAACCAGGGTCTAAAGTCACCAATGAATGACAGAGAATGACTAAGAGAATAGTAAGTGTCTGAAACAAGAAGAGGTCAGCTTATTTTCAAGTCTGATGGCATGAACTACAGAGGAAAGAGAAATAGCTTGAAAGCTACAATGTAGAACAAGGACACCTATGCCACTCAAATACACAAAGCATGAAAGAGAAGGCTACTGGAAAAAGAAATCTTAGGAAATAGCCAGATTTCAATCATGGGGGAAATGTGAAAGGAATTTTTCAAAGAGTGAATGAGAATACAGCATGTATGCATACTGTCTGAGTATGGTCCCAGAGGGTACCATGGAAGGGTCCGATACTGAGAACTCCCAATGAAGGAGCTCTGAAACGGGTGCTGTTAAAGCACCTCTACTACCAGCCTGACAAAAATCCTGGAACAACTTCAAGCTTTATTTTTGGTCACTGACTGTTATAAACATCATGCATAATGTATCCCTCAAACAATTTCAAGATAAGGTTCACACACAAGCACTTACCTCTATTTCTGTAACTTTTTCAGAAGGATTATCAATTAGGAAACGTGCTAAAGTCCCAGGAGTAGTTCTGTAAGTTAGAATGATCGAGTTTTTAGGGTCCTGGCACCACTGAATAAAGAGATCCCTTGAAAATCCACATTCCAGGTCAGGTTGACTGGCAAGTACAACTTTAGGGCTAGGTACTCGAGCCAAGTCAGAAAGACCATGACATAGAGAGAGATGACGAAACTGAAATGGATTATTTCTTTTGTCTTCAAAACACCTCATCAACTTATCACTCATCCATTCTACCTAATAATGGGGGGAAAAGATGGCAATAATTAGAAAATACTGCATTATAACTTGAATGTATTCTACAATAGTTCAGGAGTTCAAGCTCCATCTTAAGTCTTTTTTTCCATCAATGATTGCTTAAATTTGTACCATGCTGACAAGTAGCTTATTTTCTGTTTCTACTCCCCAACAAATCTTCTCAAATGTTCATCAGTAAAAATCTATAATTTTACATCACGTTTCAGTTATGTCACCTTAAATCTTATTCAGAAGGTAGTATATAAGTCCTAAATGAATATCTTACCCCAGACATGGCTATTTCAAGAAAAAGAGCTTATTCAAAAGGAAGAGAAAAATGAATTCTAACATTTATATCCTAAGAGGTGGGTTCTATTTCTATCCCTATTTTACAGATTGTGATACTAAGCATTAGAGAAGCAACCTACTCAATCTGTAAAAGGGGAACAAAAACAGAACCTACTTCACAGGATATTTAAGGATTAAGTGAAATAATACATGTAAAGAATACATAACAGTAAGTGGTTGATTTTTAGTTTATATCATCATCATTATTATTATCATCAACCTCGACAGAAAAAGAAAATTCAAAGAGCATTTAAGATACTGTTTTCCAGGAGTCCAATTTCTGTAGCAAACTTCTTTATTACACATAACATGAAAACAAACCTGGGACTTAGAAAACTCCACCACATTATAACTGACATTATTGAGGAGTGCCAATGAGTAAACACCCAATCCAGCATCTTTAGTTCTCCAAATCTGATCAAGGAGTTGAGCAAGTTCCAGAACTCTGCCTGCAGTGTCCACTGCTATTAATACGTTTCCATCACCTCGAAGTGTTTCCAGGACATTTGCTAGAAAATAAGAATGTAAAATCCCAATAGAACATAACAATATCTTGCTATAAGATTAAAGATAACTTTTATCTTCAAGTTTTCACTATTAAGACTATGGTTTATAACAATGCCATCAACTATTTTTTTTAATTGAAAAATTATAAATCATGGTTTCTAACCCTTTCCACCCATAGTACACACAGAAAATGACATTTGTATAATATATTGGGAAAATTGGGCTAACAAGCCAAACACAATCAGCTTTGTATTTCCAGGTCACTCTGGTCTCACCTGCCTCACCTCACCTCTCACTTCCATGAATTTCATTACAAAACATAATTCCAAAATTTATACACACACACTTATACTTTAATACATACATGCATTATATGTATGTATGCCTATAGAATAAAAGATAAATTAACATTCCTTCTTACAATAAAAGACTTTCTAGATAAAAATCTGCTTGGAAATATTAAGTCAAATCAAACTCTAGCAAAAATAAACAACAACAAAAATCCAAGAATTGAAAATCATCTTAGAGTAACATAGTATATAAGTCATACTTTTTAAGTAGATAAATGAAGGTGGTGGTTTCAAACATGTTGAAATTGGAATCCGATTTACCCGGCTGAATTCCAATGCAGCTTACAAAAACAGAATCAAAGATAAAAGGGCTCAAGCCAGAGCAGAAGCAACCAGGGATGGCCTGGATGCATCTCTTTAGAACCAAGACTACTGTATTAGAGTATAAAACACCCAAACACCAAAGTCAGCAGACTATGCACACCCTCATTTATCTCCTTCATTTTTCTGAGTATAAATGTTTTTCTAATATTTATATGAGATCTTTATATGTTGTGATGTTCGCTAGACATCAAAATATGTTGTCTGATGTTCAATGAGGCCAAGGAAAGCTAGCTATGTGCTGAATAGCAGGAAGAAACCAACCTTTATACCTATTCCACAAAAGTTAAATTCAAACCAACAAAAGCATCTTTTTGTAAAAATATTGATACAGTTACATAATATTCTTTTAAAAACACTAGAGTTAACCAATCTCTTATGACAAGAAAAATGTCAAGCAGTCATTCATACTACCATGCACCTCCACAGCTCTGTAGAAAGGACCATAAGCAATACATACTCAGAAGCTGCTCATCTCTTTGTTTTCTCCTGGGCTGCACATAGGTAGCATTAAATGAGTCTGTGATAAGTAAGGAGGGTCTGCTTAGCATTTCCAGGGAACATCCATTTAAGTGGCTATAAGGAAGTTGAAGAACAGGAATACTTTGTATCACTTCAAATAAACAACAGATTTTCTTACCAAAAAAAAAAAAAAAAACCCTTCTTTTCATAAGGCTTTTTTCCTCTTCTAACAGTATACATGCTCACTGATAAGAAAATCTAGTAAATTCAAAAACGGAAAACTAAGCTCTTCCAAAGTACCATCACCCAAAGATAATCACCACAGTATTTTAGTGTATATCCTTCTAAGTACATATTTCTCTATGCATATATCTGTGTATGTATTTTACTAAAGTGGTATCTTATGTAGATGATTATATACTCAGTTTATACCCTAGTTTTCTCCCATGACATTAAAATCATTTTCCAAATCTAATTTTTAACAATTATAAAAGCTTTCTGTGTATCTGTACAATAAATATTTGGTCATTTCCCTTTATTGATATTTAGGTTACTTTTTTTTGTCATTATAAACAATCTCTCAAAGAAAACTTTTGCAAAAAGCTTTTGCTGCATTTCTAATTGTTTCTTTAGGACACATTCCTAGAAATGTTTTTACTAAAATATACAATATTTCTAAATGGCTTTCCAGAAAGGTTTGACCCTTTTGAGAAAGCTCTCCCTTTTCCAGAAAGGTTCAACCAGAAACAATGACCAACTCACTAAATAATTCCCAGAAGAACACTACCATTTAAAAGCAATTTTAATGGTATTTAATATTAAAAAATCATTATCATTTAAATTTTCTCTTTTTTGACTTTATCACTTATGTCCATTTTGCAACTGGTATTTTTCTGATTGATTAATACCATGTCTTACAAATAAGTCTTTGCTCAACTTTATGGAAATATTTTCCCTAGTTTATAGCCTTTTAATTTACTTCCTTTTTTAGTTTTTTATTTATTTATTTTTGGCTCTGCTGGGTCTTTACTGTTGCACGGGCTTTCTTCCTCTAGTTGCGGGGAGTGGGGGCTGCTCTAACTGGGGGGCACAGGCTTCTCGCTGCTATGACTTCTCTTTGCTGCGCAGCACGGGCTCTACGGCACACAGGCTCTACGGCACACAGGCTCAGCAGTCGCGAGAAACGGCTCAGCAGTCGCAGCTCCTGGGCCCCAGAGCACAGGCTCAATAGTTGTGGTGCACGGGCCGAGCTGCTCCATGGCCTGTTGGATCTTTCCACATCAGGGATTGAACCCATGTCTCCTAACTGGCAAGCGGATTCTTTACACTGAGCCACCAGGGAAGCCCTGACTTAAGTTTATTGTTTCAGACATTTTGAACATATATGTAATCAAATGTAGCAGAGTCTTCCTTTATAATTTGGTCCATTTCCTTTCTGCTTACCAAAGTCTTTTCCAAATCAAGAGATCAGACTCACCAGTATTATTTCCTTTTCTATTTAATTCTAATCCACCTGAAATTTATCTTATTGATATAAAAAAAGACATAAAATGAGGTTTTTCCAAAAATGTTCAAGTATCATTCACTAAAATACCCATTTTTTTTTATTAACCTGTAATTACAAGAGCCTAAAATTCAACATATTAGTCTTAAATGTTTCTTAATATGATACAAAAGATCTTAAGGATATATAATCTAATATAAAATAGTTATGTACTTAATGTAAAAAAATTACAAAAGAAACCAAAACAATCTTACAGAAATGCTGTAAGTACAAAATGAAGTTTTAAAATGAAACTACTGTGTCCCCTTTTCAGTTGACTTCCCTGATAGTTTAGTTAGTAAAGAATCTGCCTGCAATGCAGGAGACTCCAATTCGATTCCTGAGTAAGGAAGATCCGCTGGAGAAGGGATACACTACCCACTCTTCTAAAAGGAGGTTGACTTTAAATCATTATATTAGATAGTATTAATGAATTTTATCAAAAAAAAAAAAAACCCACCTGCAAAGTTCCTCTAAATAGCAAGTCAAGAAAATATAAAATATAATTTGATGTATAAAAATTAATCTCCTATGCAACATCTCCAGAGAGATACTTGTTTTATAGAGTAGATATCTGCATGTAAATTTCAAAACAATATCTTTTATCTCATATTAAACTTTTTTCCTTACAATGCAAATAATTTAAGTAACTTTGAAAACATTCACTATTTGGAACTTTTAAATTGCTCTAGATTTCTAGTTTAAAGAAAACTTTGTTTTTAAATTTCCCTCCAAACAATGAAGCAAGACCAGCTACATTTCCATTAGCTTTTATCTTAATATACCTACATCTCCCTCTTGTGGTTGAAGTCAACTGCATAAACAATTTCTTCTTCTCCATCTTTGACTATTTTCCATATTGTTCCACCTATCATATGACCAGCTGGCAGAGGTGTGATAGACAAGCCATGTCCTTTACCTAGGTCAACAAGATAATGACAATAATCAGATTTCTTATTACAAATCTAAAGAAAGGTTATTTATTATTAGCTATTCTTTAGTAAGTAACATGTGCAATGATACAAAATTAAAAACTAAAAAGGCATACGGTGAAAAGCAAGTCTCACTCTCCAGTCCCCCAGCTACCTCACACCTTCATGGAGGCACTCTTATAATTTTATTATGCATCTGTGCATAATATTTGTGCTTGAAAAATAAAAGGCTAGAGCTTGCCACTACTATTCAATAATTTAGTATGAACTAATAAACTTTATTGTTCATATTGTGCACATAAATTATGAAGTGTTTCCATCTTCACTAATCTCTAAATTGACAATTCAAATCTCATTCTAGTAAAGAATGTATCCTTTAGAAAACTAAGTACCAGCCAAACTGCTGAGACCATTGTTACTTCCTGGCTAAACCTCAGAGTCCATCTGTGCACCATTTTTTCATATTTATGGTATCATATTTATGAAAATATGTAAATGGTTCTCTCTACAGAAGATAAATATATACTTAGGACTTCCTGTCCTAATTAAATGACAAATTTTTTTCATATTCAATTCTAGAATTCAGTCATGTTCTACTCTGTGCTGCCATAGCACTTCATTTACTTCCACCACTCCATTTGGTCATCTGAGCTACTTTTCCTCCTCAACCTCACTGTGAGCTCTTTGGAAGAGAATCTGACTATGTTACCTTTGTGCATTATATATAGTGAACACTAAGTAAGCGTTCCTAAATTAAACCTGAAAAGGAGGCCTGAGTTGTTACATTTTATTAGAATTTAGCCTGCAATATTTTAAAATTCAGATGATTTGGGAGAAGTTCACGGTTCCCTATGGAATAATGCTAATGTTTTATTCTTCAGACAATAGTGCCTAGAATTTTTACTACAAATTTCCCTTGTACTTTTCAGCAGTTCAAACACCATTAGTCCAATTATTTGCTACTGGAAACATGTTTTACCTTTCAAATTCACAATCTGAGAGAATTTTAACTGTTGTATCTTATCAAAGGCTGCATCCACATCATCTAGGGTAAAGAGTGTAAAATCTTCTGTATTGTGTCGGGACTTAAAAAAAAAAATACAAATAAAAGGTTAAAAATTATCACTGCCAGGGTGTTAAAACAGTTTTTTCTTTAATTGCTTAAATTACCTGATAAAGGTCATACATGAACATCTGTCCCATTTTATAAACGGGAATGGTTGCATAGATGGCACAGTTCAGACCCAACTTTCCAACAGCATAGGGGAGGGCGCCAAGATGGAGGGGGTCGGGATGAGACAACAAGACCGCATCAATCTGGTGAACATGCCTAGAACACAAGCAAGATGACTATTACTGAGTCTTGTTCCTAAAGGAAAAGGCACTATACTCAAAATTAATTTGCCAGTTCTGATTTCTCTCAGTATTCTGAGCTGAAGACGATGATAGGCTAAAAGAGAGAAAGTGAAAGTGAAATCGCTCAGTCATGTCTGACTCTTTGTGACCCCATGTGCAACTGAGAGCTAAAATTACATTACCTATGAATTTCAATTACTACTACCCCAGTCCTACATAGAGATCAAAACTGTGATATGAGTTGCACATAAATACATAGCATCTAGACACATTTTTTTTAAAAAAAGTAAGGAAAACAGTAGACACCACATGTAAACTGATTTCAAGAGGCTATCTTACATACTATTAAAGTTCAAGAACTCAGGATTTAAGAAATTGTTAAGAAAAGGATATTTAAAAGGCCACATATTTATTATGGATTTTTGTCTCAGCTTTTTGGCATAATGACTGACAGCATATTCATGATAGTGTAACTTGAGTCAATGAATAATATGTTCTAATTAACAAAAGAAATAAGAAAAAAATATTTTGCTATAAGTTCTAAGTTTTATTTAAGTTCTTGTTCATTCCATAATTAGTACAATACTTACTGCTAACACAACTAAATTTTTCTTTGATGGATTAGATCCTTTTGAATCTCATGGTCTTTATTCTAAGCACCAATTCTCAAATGTGTAAGCATCAAAAGATTAAAAGAAAATAAGCTAATTTGATCTGACTGCAGAACTTTTACAAGGACAGTTTTCCTCTCTTCAAATTCTTATAAACTTAATTTTGCTCTTTTCTAAAATTAGGGTGCAAAAATTTCTACTGAGATCCATTGATCAAGTAACAATTAACTTAAGATTTTGCTGACTTTCAATAAACACAGTTTACAAGTCAATCAAAACTACGCAAATAAAAAGTCATTATTTGGTTCTTCAGTTTAAATAAAATTGTTTTACTATCAACTAAATTAGAGCAAAACAGCAAACATTGTGTAATATCAAAATAGCATTACAACATAGAAAAGAAAAGTTGATTTTCTAAAAGTGTAGAAATATTAACAGTAACTTACTTCCTCAGGGAATCTATAATATCCATAGAAAAGTGCTCATCCCAGCCACAGTCCAATAAAAATCTAAACTCGTCGACTTGGAGAAGATAGCAAAGAGCAGATTCTTCTTGGACCCCAGAAAGCGTGGTTAATTTGATAATAGATGTCATTTTTTCAGTCCAACAACAACAATCCAAAAGGTTCTTTCAACAGAAATAAAAACATAGTTAAACATAAAAGCACAGTCATTTTAAAGACCTATTTCCATCACTGCTAAGTGTGAAGGTACAAACATAATCTTATACCCTCCTGTTTATAGAGTTCTTCAGTGGCCCCCCCAATGTGGTTTGATGAAAAGTAGTAGATTTTGGAATCAGACTGACCTGTATTTGAATCTATGCTTATATGGTTCTGAGCACGCTAGTTAAATTTCCCCTCACTTATGTATCCTATAAAATATTAATATTAATATATACATTAAAAGGATGTTGGAAGATTTCAAATAATGTATAAATTACCTAGAATGGAGACTACCAAGTTTCTCAATAAATAAATGTAGTGTACTAGTGAACTTATTCTTCAAGGTGAATCTGCTCCTCCTTTATTTTCTTCTGAGACAGCAGTGATTTCATTGCATTACACTGTTATTAGTTTATGTGTCGTCTTCTACTACTAAACCAGTGGTCCTTAAATAAAGGACCACTTGACAATGTGATAAAAAGCTATGGATCTTTCCTGCTCCCCTCAGTCCTTAAAAAAACAAAACGGTCCATATACATGTAGCAATTCACATTTTCAGGGAATTTTGTTAAGAAGCCTTGCACCAGAATGTGAGCAACTGAAAACAATTGTAGTGCCTTATAGTTTGCACTTCCTGAAGAGAATCTGACACAGAGTAGGTGTTCAAAACATATCCAATGGAATACAGTTGGGATACTTAATACATACTTCAAGAAGATACAACATGAAACCATCTATTGGGATTTAGGACCTAGAATTGTGTGCTACTATATAGATGTTAAAAACTATATAGATATTAAAAACATTCATATGCAAAGCACAACTCCACAGCAAGATTTCAGGTCTTAGGTTCTTAAAATAAATCTGCCTTTTCTGGTTAACTATGAAAGTAAGAGAATTATTCATTCACAGTTATTTATCCTTAGAGTGCTTAGAAGAAAAGGGGACATTGGAAAATTCCAAACTTTTCTAAGTTATTAGACCTCCCTCTAATTAATGCGCCTTTTCATTACTGTTAATGTTACTCTATAGCATCTATTATTAAAATTATTATTATGTGAAAAAAAGAGAGAGAAGGTCATTGCACATCTGATGATCCTTCAACATCTGCCCAAGGTCACATCAACAAATTAAGGTAAACTGCCCAGCTTTCTTAACAGACTGTCACCACATCTCCCATCCCTGTTTACTTCAGTCACAGCCAAAGACCCAAGACTCTGAGGTTGTCCATCATCACTGACGTCCACCTACTGGGACCAATTCACTACCTCTTCTGCCTTCCAAATCCTTTTGGTATTCCCTCTGGAACCATTATACTCACTGAGAATTTCACCCTCTTCTCTGAAGGTTTTCCTCATCTGCAAATCATCACAGAAACCTAGCTCTTCTCAAATGATACTGTTTCTCTTCCAGCCTTCTCAAGAGGCCTTTTTTCTCCTGTATTCCCTAACCTCAAACGCAGGAAGCATGTGCTCCCTATTCATCACTGCAGCCTCCAGCCCACGTCTTCTCCTTCCTCCTGGAAACACTCTAGTCCCGCTGAACTCATGCTGCCCAGCCAGCTCGCTATGAGCCTTTCCTGTCCTTCCTCATTAATGGAGGACTTTAGTTCCTGACACAGTCTTCCTCTGAGTAGCTTCATTACTGACCTCTTCTCTCCTTGACTTTCTCAACTCCAATAATCTTCATTTCCCTTCAGCCACCTGGCACCACAGTCACAACCATGACCTTATCATGACCAATAAACTGCAGCACTTTCAAAATTTCACCTTCAACTATCTTCCCGCTTCACTCCCGCCTTCACTACTCTAGAATTCCCACTGCAAAAACCCCTCAGCCTCACTGTATCATCTCTAATTCACTGACTACTTTTTTCACTGTCCATGACCACCTCCTGTCTCCACTCATGTTATATGGATCCACAAGCCATCATGATTATTTTGCAAATACTCAAGTGTTTTGCAGCTCCAGTCCTTCTTTGTACAAGTCTGGCAAAATCCTAACCTTCACTAACTCCAATCATGTACCTTGTCTTTTCAAGCAGCTCAGTGCTGCCAGAGTGGGGCAAAAAACCAATCACACAACTATGCTATTTGCTCTTTAAATTCATGGTCAAAGATCTCAAACAGGCACTATGTCCTACCTACCAATGTGATTTTTCTTAGTAGGCTGACTTTCCATCTGAGACCACCATTTCACATCTCTTCTCTGCTCAAGCATCACACACCCTTCCCTCCACCCTACTCTGTTGATAATCTCACCTCATTCCTCAATCAGAAGACAAAAGTAATCAGACAGTAACTCCACATTTTCCAAATACCATAGCTACTACATTAACCTATCTGTACGAATGCTGTTGTGTCTCCCATCACACAGAACAAATCCTGTGTGTGTGCTCTGAATTCCACTCCTGTTTATCTTCTACACAACTTCTCCAGTCATCCCCTCTTTCTCCTGCATCATCAATGGATCACCGATGTACCATTCCTGTTAGCATACAAAGATACTCTAGAATTTCCCATCTTAAAAGAACCCTCTCTCAATCCTACAGTCCCCTGCAACTGCTTTATCACTTCCACGCTCTCCTTTCACAGCAAAATTTCTCAGAATTATTTGTCCACAGACATGTCTCTACTTTCTCATCTCCCATTCAAACCACTGAATCTGATGTCTTTCTCCACCATATCACTAGAAGAGTTTTCATGAAGGTCACTGACAAACCTCTATACAACTGAAGCCAGTGGACATTTCTGTGGTCCCAACTTACTGGAAGTCGTAGCAGCATTCAATGAAATTAATAGCTCCATCTTCCCAGAAACACCTTCCTCTGATCCTCTGGGTCAACCATCTCCTGATTTTCCTTATATCTAACTGGCCATTCCTCACTCTCCTCAATTAATTTTTTCTTCTCCCCCAACCTCTATATGAGGCAGTGCTTTTCTGCAGGACTTTCTCTTTTCTCTCGAGGTAATCTTACAGTCCTCCAGCTTTAAGATCATCTGGTCTCTGATGGCATCATCCTTGATCTTTTACTTGTTTTTCACATCTAACCCATCAGTAAATCCTTCCTTTTTACCTCTATTCTATTTCTCAATTATAATAATTTCTCATATATTTCCTTCTATCTCCACTGTCACCAAGATCTCTAACTAGTGTGAGTTATTGTTTTCCCTACCTCAAATTCTCTTTCAGAGACATTTTCTAACCATCCTAAAGTCCACCCCACCTAAGTTACATCCTATAATGTGTATTTTCCTTCTATTTTCTTCAAAATACATAGTATCCACCTGTACTTGCTGCTTATTTGGTCACTTTGTCCAACCCCTTATCTCCTTTTAACCCCTACACCAGAATAAGGACTCCATGAAAGAAGAGACTTTTGTCTCTTCTGATTATATTCTAGCACCCCTACAGTGCCTAACACATTGGTGGTCAATAAGTGCTTCTTAAATGAATAAATGAAGACGGCTAGTCTTAAATGAGCTTAGTGCTATTTCCAAACCATTAACAGCTACCTTTTCATACTGTTCACGGGATTCTCAAGGCAAGAATACTGAAGTGGTTCGCCATTCCCTTCTCCAGTGGACCACGTTTTGTCAGAACTCTCCACCATGACCCGTCCATCTTGGGTGGCCCTACACGGCATGGCTCATAGTTTCATTGAGTTAGATAAGGCTGTGGTCCATGTGATCAGACTGGTTAGTTGTCTGTGATTGTGGTTTTCATTCTCTCTGCCCCCTGATGGAGAAGGAAAAGAGGCTTATGGAAGCTTCCTGGTGGGAGAGACTGACTGAGGGGGAAACGGGGGGTAACAGAGGATGAGATGGTTGGATGTTATCACTGACTCAGTGGACATGCGTTTGAGTAAGCTCTGGGAGTTGGTGATGGACAGGGAAGCCAGGCATACTGGAATCCATGGGATCGCCAAGAGTCGGACACGACTGAGCAACTGAACTGAACTGAACTGCTACCTATTTATATGTACTTTCTTTGGTTTGGGAGAGCTCTCTGAGTGCAGGACCAGGTTTGATCTATGTTTGTATCCTTACTATATGAGCACGTCTTATACAGTGGATGTTTAATAATCACTGTTGCTAAAACAAATAAACTGAAATTAAAAATACATTGACTTAGTGTGTTCCTATTTTTAAGGGATGAGAACTACACAGATACTAATTCTCTATTTGAAGAAACGTGTTTATACAGTTTAAAATAGGACTTGGATCTCCCTGTCAAAAAGCTCCATGTACCACAATTATAATAGTGGCCTAAGAGAAATTCTTTTCCAACTTAAATCTACTTTACTCTCCCACTTTCTTTATTTAGATTATGACATGAAAATACAAAGTGTCTTACAGATAGAACTGAATGAGCTCATTTATAACTTTTGCAGACAAACCCAGATTGCAACAGATGAAAAGATATTTTTATTATAATTGCTTATAATATAATAAAGCTGTATCTTTATTAGACACTCTTTACTTACCGGTATCTCAGTTGTATTTGGGATGAAACACCATGAATTCAAAGGAAGACTTCTTTACATATCTAAAAAATAAAGAAATAAGAGTCTCATGAATGTGGTATAATGATTTACATCTGTTTTTAATTTTTGTGTTTAACTTCATGTCTTATCCTAAGGTAAAGATAGTGAACAGCAGCAAGTAGAATACTATATGGTCCTATAAAAAAAAAATCTTGGAAATAAGATTTTTAAAACTGACATTAATTTATGTTATTGAGAATCATAAAAGAGGTGGGATCTTAAATTATTCATTAAGGACTGGTAGGCCATGGGTAAAAAGAGATAAAGAGAAAAGGTATTCAAAACAAGAGAAAAACATGATTAAAAGCCAAAATAAAAACTTATTAGAGTACCAGTAACAATACTAGCCTGGCACAATTTCATGGAAGCAAAAAAATGAAAACG